GATTCTCGACAGATCCATCTTTGAGGTCAGTAACCAACCAGTTTCTGTTTGTTTCCTATATCTTAGTATTCATTATGACTTGGGAAGCAAGTAATCTCTCATGAGAAACCGATATGAGAGTTTCACAATTACATCATAGAGAGTCGCTGTACGGCTGATATCCCCGAGTGGACACGGTGCTGATTCAAGCGAGAGAAGAAAGAGGATAGTGAAATTCAAAGAATCAGCTTGGAAGTGTCTATGCTCTCTCTCTATCGAATCTCTTGCTCTCCACGTCACTTATAAGGAGCCATGGTTTAAAGACACAAGATGCTTCTGGTTAGGACCAGGAGACCATATATGGCCTGACCAAAAGATAAAGTAAGAATAATCTGTTATTTTACATGAGGCACGAGCATGCAAGACACTGTCAAGCATCTTACAAACCCTAATATATCTTATGATTATATTTACGGGCTATTTCGCAGGTTGAAAATGAAGGGAATGTATATGTTTGTCGGCGGGTTATATGTATATTCTTTTTTTGCTTTGTTCTTTTGGGAAACAAGACGATCTGATTTCAAAGTCATGATAGTTCATCACATTGTAGCTTCATTCCTAATCGCCTTCTCTTACGTTTTCAGGTACTCCTAAACTAAATTATAAGATATCAACGACCAACATTTTATGAGTCCACCAGACTCTTAACTTTAACTTTCTCTCTTTATACTAGATTTGCTCGTATAGGTTCTGTAATATTGGCTCTTCACGAAATCAGCGACGTGTTTCTAGAGATAGGCAAAATGTGCAAATACAGCGGTGCAGAAGCCATGACTAGCATCTTGTTCGTCCTATTTTTCTTGTCATGGACCGCTCTTCGACTCATCTATTACCCTTTCTGGATCCTTAGGAGCACCAGGTCTGTACTCTTAATTCTATACGTATATAGTGTTAAGTGATTGGATAATCACGTTTTTGGTTGATCTCTAAGTATTATATGGATATATACGCAGCTACGAATCAATAAAAGTGAAATTGGAGTGGGACAAGAAGCATTTGATAGAAGCTGGACCGCCCCCTATAGTCTACTATGTCTTCAACACACTTCTCTATTGCTTACAGATTCTTCACATTTACTGGTGGGTCTTGATTTGTCGTGTGCTCATCAGCCAAATCCGTGCCAAAGGCAAAATTGCTAGAGACGTCCGTTCTGGTATGATTTATATATATATGCATACGTATCTAAACCAACCTCAACTTAATCATGTTTTCGTGATATATATTCTCTATAATATGGAACTTTTGTCTTCAACTATTACTTGCAGATTCTGAAAGTGAAGAAGATGAACACCAAGATTAACTGTCTTGCCCTATCATGTTGAAGTGTCAGTAATGTCTACCATCTACCATCTAGACCAAGATAACAATATAATGCAACCAGTTGATTTTACAGTGGGTTGAATGTTCTTAATTTGTTTCATCATAGAAGGTGATGACCGATGAATTGAGTACGCATACCCATTTTAATCATTACATATGCAATGCAGACACCACCTAGCTACTTCATAATTATCACATATCCGCTCCACCAGAATTGCTCTGACCATGTTTGGATTCTCCAATGGAGCTGCGAAAAAATTGGTAAGAGATTCTGATTACCACTGCCCGTCCAAGAGATCCCAATTCCCATCATATAGCTTTGTCTAACCAAGCTGGTAATCTCAACGAAGCTTTCATTCCGAGTCTTGTGAGGAAGATCGAGTATAGGAGATGCAGCAACAGCACAAAGAATCCACTGTTTAGCAATAGCTGTTGAGAATCAAACGAAAGGGTTGTTGCCTCAGCTTCTTTGATTTCACGGGATAAACAGAGAGAAGCGGGAGAAAGAGATTGTGTACCACTGTTCCAAATATCATATAAATGAGGCTCATTGAAGGCATTATGTTGAGGCCCATGGCGGTGAAAACATAAGAGAGAGAGGCATGGATATTAATTGTAATCTGCAACAACAATGCAGTAGCAGGTTTTCAGTTATAAAAGAGTTTCTTTAAGTGAGAAGACTAAATAGGATTTTGAGGGATATATACTTACCACAGCCAGAATGTTTTCTCTTATTAAGAAGGATGATGTCAGAACATAGCCTATGAGACCCAATGCTCGGACCTGCATGGGAGCAAACACAACAAAACATATAAACAGGGAGAGATAAAGAACCATTAACTGTTTCAGGTGGTTGCAGGAAGCAAACATCTCACCATTGTGCACAAGAAAATTGAGAGACGCCAGCTGGCCCCTAGCCTGGAAACAAATATAAACATAATTGATATAATGTTAAGCTGAAGTAATCTACTCCCAAAACTTCAATCACTTTTTATTTAAGATGTCTATCAGTTAGTGTGGAGTAATTTTGAAGGATCTGTTGCAGTAGAGAACTAGAAACTCTGCAAGATAGAGAAGACAAGCACAAAAGCAGTATGAATCTCATACCTCCACAATGATCCCATCGCAAGCCCCACAAGACCATGAGTAAGCTGCAAGAGAAATACCCACTGGTAAAGCACTGTCACACAATCTTTGTGAAAGGGAAATAGAAAGATATTAGACAAAGTAGCATGATGAAGCAGCTAATTAATGGCCAATGTTTTCCATTAAGAAGCATCAGAAGACAATAATCTGTTTAAGAACAAGTATCAAGGACGCTTACAAAGTAAGTTAATGCTTTGACCGGACCTGATAATATGAACAAGAGCATGACAGTAGCAACCTGAGAATACCACAAAGACTTGAAGCACATGTCCAACAGAACAAAAAGACTTGGAATTCTTGAAATTATATTGATGTATTACAAACCATTGTCTTCCTTCCACCAGCAATATTCCATCTTATTGAAGATATCACAATTGGCAGCGAGAAGAAACACCCAAAGTAGTTCTGCATTCAAAGTGTAAGTCAGACTTGGTATAGAAAGAAACAAGTAGTTATATTGAGGATTATGACACCAACGATCAAACACATACGAAGAACAATGATTCTCACGTATCCTTTGTTTCCAAAGTTAACATTCATTTTTACAAAGCTCCCAAGTAAAATGAAATCTCCAGGCAACATCAGACTTCCCTCTATTATGTAGAATGCTGCAACACATAACCTCAACACTCCATATCCAAAGGAAAATTTACAGAGGCTAGAGAACGTAATGAACAGGCATGAGAATCGGCCAAATATGCAGTTTTTCCAGAAAGAAGATGGTAATCTAATCGAGTTTCTATTATCATCGGTTTCTTCCTTAGAAATCCCAGAAAATGTAAGGCTTGTCTTGGTCAATTGAATAAAATTCGAAATGGGGGAGAAAAACAAAAAACCTCAATTGCGAGAGAATTGCTGAGAAAATAAACAAGACCCGTCACAGCAGCGAACATAGCGCACTCCACCAATCTCAGGGTTTTTTGGTAAACAA